ATGAAGAAGCTATGCGATACGATCTCGGAATTGGCTTCAAGTATCCTGCCTGATAACGGTTGGTCAGAACTATTTCCATTTATGTTTCAGTGCGTTTCTTCCGATTCTCCCAAGCTCTAAGAATTTGTGTTCTTGATATTTGCGTAGTTGTCACAATACATTGGGGAGACTTCAATTCCACATATAAAGCATCTTCATGGCGTGTTTTTGCAGTGCATGTAATTAATTAAATTCAGTGTTTGTCGAGTTCGGTGATAAGGATCGGTTCTAGGATTTGCTTCCAACGACTATGAAGACTTTGATTGAAGATTTAATTGGTTGACAACAGGACTGCTCAAGAGGCATTGGAATTGTTGATTGAGTTGGCATGGACTGAACCTAGGTTCTTGAGGAGGCGATTAGTGGAGGTGGTGGGGTCTATGTTGTAGATAGCTAAGGTGGATACTCTAGAAGAGGGCACACGACACCTAGCCATTGAGTTTGTGATCACGCTAGCAGAGGCCAGAGAGAAGGCACCTGGTATGATGAGGAAGTTGCCACAGTTTATCATCAAGTTTTTCTGCATTTTATTGCAGATGTTGCTGGATATCAAGGATGAACCTGCTTGGCATACTGCTAAAAATGAGGACAATGATGCAGGAGAGTCAAGTAATTGCAGTGTTGGGCAGGAGGGCTTGGATCGTTTGTCTATTGCTCTAAGTCAGAATACCATTGTCCCCGTTGCATCTGAACAATTTTCGGCTTACTTGGCTCCCCTAAGTGGTAGAAACATCATGTTGCACTTATCGCTCTTGCGCATATAGTTGAGGGATGCTCAAAGGTAGCAATATTTTTAGAATTTATTATATCACTTTTTGGTCAAGTTTGATTGTTTAACGCATCATTTGTTTAACATGCAAATAAGTGCATTTTTATGATTGAATTAGTTTGCCTGGATATGAACCTTTTCACATATTTATTATTTCCTTGCATTTTGTTTGTGCTTGTTATATTGCTATGTCATGCAAGTAGTATACATTCTTTTAGAATACCTTACATTCTTTTAAAAAATATATCACATTCTGTAAGATTATTGCGTATTCTTTAAGAATTCTAATTCTTTTGATATAGTTTTCCAATAAGAATGATTTTGATTCTTCATTCTTTATTTGATCTTGCTGTAATTATTTGCTATTATATTGTTGTCACATCAAATGAAGAGTTTTCTTTTAAGAATTGTTTCAAATTTAGAAAAAATTTACTATGTTGTTTTTATAATTCTTTTAGAATTATGCTTTGTTTTAAAGAATATTTGCAAATATTCTTTAAGAATGCTCTTCAGTTTGAAATTATGTTCTTGGAGGGGATTGGAAAAATATACAAGTGTTCTTTAAGTATTATAGATAATAATTAATATAATTAATTTGATTTGGATAAGTTTCCTAAATTTATGGATTTGATTAATTAATTGCCTAAAATGATGATATAAAAAAGTGTATATTACTCTAAAATGATTGTTCTAGAATTGTCCTTACGTGCACACAGTAGATGTCATCCACATTATACCTAGCCCTATATATATATATATATATATATATATATATATATATATATATATATATATATATATATATACACACACACACACATGAGATCCTATACTCTACATAGTATAATCAAGGTAAAACTAAACAATCAACACACTCTCTCAATTGGAGCAGGAGGTTCTTGTATAGTCTAACTGTTTTTGAAATCAATAAATAATTGTATAGGAAGCCTGTTTGTAAAGATGTCTGCAAACTGGTGAGTATATGACACATACAGAACACATATGTGACCAATATTAACACGTTCCCTAACAAAATGTAAATTTATTTTCACATGTTTGGTACGTTGGTGTTGAACAGGATAGGAAGCAAGATACATGGTATTATCATTATCACGAACACAACGATGACACAATATATATATATATATATATATATATATATATATATATATATATATATATATATATATATATATATATATATATATATATGGAGAGAGAGAGAGAGAGACCGACCAAGCTCGAGAAGAAGATTATAATGCCAATCAGCTTTAAAAACAACATTAGCTACCCCCACATATTCAACTTCGACGTTAGAGCGAGAGACAACATGTTGTCACTAAGAGGATCAAGAAATCAGGTTCTCTACACAGCAGACACAAAAAACGGTGGAACGTCAAGTCTTGGGACAGCTAGTCTAGTCAGCATCAGTATACGAAACTAAACAATCAACAAAAGAGGGAAAATTGTGAAGTCCATGCAAAAGAGTACCCCGAAGATAACACATAATACACTTAAGAACGAGAAAGTGAGGTTCATGATGGTCATGTATATAGACACATACGTGCTGAACAATGCAAGCAATATCATGCATGGTGAAGATCAAATATTGCAAAACACTCGCCAACCTATGGTAGAGAGTGTGCTCAGAGATTGGAGTACCCTCAAATGAGAGCTTGGGCTTAGAATCTGTAGGGATGCTACAAGGATTACAAGTATCCATGTCATCATGAATAAGAATGACCCTAGCAAAGGAAATTTAAGATAAAAATAAACTAGTGGAGCTTTGAGTGGAAGCAATACTAAAAAAGAAAATAGAGAACCTAAATCGGACATGGGAAATTCAGATGAAAGTATGGAGATGATGTGCTGAACTAAAGTGGAAAAGCACATAGCTAAGATGATATCATCAATATATAAGAGAAGATAGATAGAATCACTACCATGAGAGAATATGAAAAGAGAATTGTCAGATTTAGTTCATTTAGAAAACCTTAGTGAGATCACCGTGTAGGAAGGCATTCTTAAGATCAAGTTAATGTATAGGCCTGTGACGGGACACATCAATGCCTAAGACAATTCAAATGGTAGCTGGTTTGACAAAAAGAGTCATTGTTTCATCAAAATCAAGCATAGGTTATAGAGAGAAACCCTGAGCAAGAAGGCTACCTTTATAATGTTCCAATGTGTCATGATTGTGAAACTTGTGGTGGTAGAGCCAACGAAAACCAACAATATTGGCATTTGAAGGACGTTGGACAAGATTCGAAGTGAGATTTAAAAGAAGAGCTGACATCTTAACATCTATAACTTCTTTTCAATATGGTTTGCATATAGGTTCAGTCGTAGGCCATGGAATCATGTTTAGTGGAGGAGATGGAGATAATGTACCACTGAGGCTAGGTGTAGGGTGATGAGTAAGGAGGACAACAATGACAAAGACAGGTTCAACAGTAGACAGTAGAGGGATGAAGGGATGAGAATCATGCATAAGAGAATCATGTTTAGTGGAGGAAAGAGGAGTATGAAAACCAGAGTAAGGAAAGTAGTCTTCATCAAATGTGACATGTCGATAGATGATAACCCGTTGAGTAATGAGATCAAGACATCGATAACTCTAATGATTAGATAAAGGACCGAGATAGAGACAAGAAGAGGAGTGATGAGCTAATTTGTGAGGTGCAATAGATGATTTGTTAGGATAACACATAATGCCAAATACATGAAAATGCATGTAAGAAGTTGTAATGCCAAACCAAATCTCAAAAGGGGTTTTGTAAGAGAGAGTACAAATGGGAAGAATGTTTAAGAGAAAAATCAAAGACCAAAGTGCTTTGACCCAAAATTTGGCATGTAATGCAACTTGAGAAATTTGAGTACGAATACTATTGTTTATTGTGCTAATAGTGCGTTTAGCCTTTCCTTTCTGCTGAGAAGTGTAAGGGAACAAATCCTCATTTATATGCCACGAGTTAGGAAGTAGTTGAGAAAAAGAATGGTTGTTAAATTCACCAATATTATGCATTTAAAAAGTTTCATGAAACTTTTGAATTGATTTTGTATATTATAAAATTATAGAGAATATTGAACACTCCATAAGTCTAAATGAATCAACTGAAATAAACTAGTAGTTTTAGTAACAAGAAAGAAAAATGAAAGGTGAGAATGTTTTCCAAGATGACAAACATGACAATTAGACACTTTATTTTAAGAACATGGAATAAAACGACGAGACTAAAGAAACTAAAGAGTAGTATCTCCTAGATGGGCCACATGATAATGTCAAGTGTTAGGGGAGACAACAACAAGAGCGGTGGCAAGAGAAGAAGGAAGAATCAGGTATAAGTCACCAACACTGTCGCATCGTTGGAAAAGAGTATCAGTTTCAAGATCTTTAACATAGAATTTAGAAGGATCAAGTTCAACCGAAATAGAATTATCAATGGGAAAATTTGCGCACGTAAACTAGGTTTTTAACTATGTTGGAAGAAAAGTAGTCATTTTTTAAAAGAAAAAATATTTTGAGAAAAAGGGAAAAAAATTATGTCCAATATGGCTAATCTGAACTAAATCACAATTGCCAATCGTGATAGATTTATATGCAAAACATGGTGTTAGGAAGTGTGTGTTACCTTGCTTAAACGTCATGTGAAAACTAGAACTGATATCTATGTGGGAATTTGTACTAGGAGGTTGTTGAATGGACATGACTTGAATAATTGAGGCGAGATCTTAGGGATGAGTTAGAAAAACATTCGCTATGGCAGGATCTCCAAAAAAATTGCAGCTATTTAATGCTGTGATACAAATGATGATTAACGATGGTAACTAAAAGTGATGATTGTGTTGTGTTGGCATGCTGTTTGACAAATAGAGGGGTTGCTAAAGCCCAAAACTGCTATTAGGTAGCTGCTAGAAGGGCCATATTGGGTTGTTTTGTGCCTGGATGTGGGTGTACTATACCTATGTTGGTAGTTGTGGGATGTCATGGACAACAGAATGTTGAACGGGCCAGGAATAATTGCGGAAGGCTGCTAGGATGCATATAAATGTTGGTTGAGATGCATAAAATTACCATAACCATTAGAACTCCCATAAATGGTGTGAATGTTGGCATTATGATGTTGATTTGAGCCTTGAATACCTGCAAAGTGGTTAGTAATAGTAGATAAACTAGAATTATCCCTCCTTTTAGAACCACCATGACCATTAAAATTATTTTTATTGAACCTATTTTTCAACTTGCCGGTTTGGGTGTGTTATAGTAGAGAGTTGTAGTGGTTTGCAAAAAAAAAAAAAAATCAAGTGCAATTTCTGGTGATTCTTCACATGGTTCATGAAGGAGGAAGATATTATTTGCTTAAAGGAAGGACGGGAACGCCTTGGTGTTGGTGATGACATCAACAATAATGTGATAAGGAGCCGATAATTGACAAAGTATTTGCATTTCAAGTTCCACTTCGGTGATAGGAGAATCAACATTATGAAGGGCATCATCAATATTTCTTTCAAAGCATGAAAAAATTTAGTAATATAAGATGATCCTATATTTGTATTTCGAAACTAATCTTGTAGTTGTATCATATGGGACATTTTGTTGTTAAGGAAGAATTCGTCAAGTTTATGTTGGAAATATGTATTCAATTTCATAACTAATAGGTATAACTGTGGGAATAAAAACTAAGTCCTTTTAGGGTTTTTCTCAAGTGCTAAAATAACTAGAAAATGATTTAAGAGAGTGAGATTAATAATTATAGATTGATAAGTTAATTAGAAACTTGTTAATTAATTTAGAACTAATGTGAATTAATTAGATTTAACCAAAAATTATTTAAAGGTACATGGACTGAATGTTAATTATTCAATAGTTGAGAAAGAGGAACATTTTGGAACCCCTTGAATGGGTGGATGATTTTGAAGGGATAAAATCCCTTAGGGCAGGTTTGGTTGACTGGAGAGGAATGAAATTCGAGAAAAAAGGATCCAATTCTCTCG